GGATTGGGGGGGGAAAATTGGTGAATTCTGTCTTGGACAGTTTGAGATGCCCGTGGAACATCCAGCTGGAGATGTCTAGTAGGCAGCTATGTGGGACCAAAACTCAGAGGAGACAGTAGACCTCAATCCATGGATGTGGGAGTCATCAAAATAGAGCCAATAGATGGGGCTCTTGGGAGTCAATGAGGTCACCAACTGAGAAAGTGTAGAGAAAAGAGAAGGCCCAGGATATAGCCTTGGGCAACACTCACCTTTACTGGGCAGGAAATGAATAGTGAATCAGCAGGGAAGACTGAGAAGAAGTCAGGCAAGTAAGTGGAGAACCAGAAAGGTTGGTCAACAGTGTCAACAGCTACCAAGAGGTTGAGAAGGAAGGTGAAGAATGCATACATCTCCGTCCCCCTATATAAATGTCTGTGCCCTTCTCACATTTATCCTAGGTCACTTTGGTCTCTCCTATCACACATTTGACCTCTTGGGATACTTTTTCTGTGTGTAAATGGTGTATTTGTTCCAATAATTTTGCACCTCCTTGAGGACAGAGACTACATTGTGTTCACAGAGTAGGTGATTAATAAATATTGATTGTAGATCTATATGAATGGATACAGAACAAAGTAAACAGAGTCAAGAAAAAATGCACACAATGACTACAATAATGTACATGGAAAGAATAACAATCATACACAAAAATGATAATGAATGAAGAAGATATTTCCCTCCACTCTCCTATAGAGGTGGGAGGTTCATAGGCGTGGATCATTTTTTTTTTTGGTGTTCTTTGTATTTTCTAGCTTTTTTTAATGTATTCATGAGTTTTCTTTTTTTCTCTTTCTTCCCCCCTTTAAAATACTCTGTAACATAGGCTGGGTTTCTGGGATGAAGGGGAAGGGATGGATACTGGAAGAAATATAGGCAATGTAATATCAAAAGACATCAATGCAAAAATTGTTTTTCAAAATTATTGAATTGTTAACCACATCAGAAACTGGCTGACTGTCCTAAGGCCAAAACTTGAGCCTCAAATCTCTCATATTATCCTTAAAGCGAGGGAGACCTGAAGAAAGAGCAGGTCATCATACATATCTATAGTTGTAATACAAATAAATCTTTCCCATTGCATGAAGTCTACGCTTCTTAGTCTGGTACTCTAAGATGTGATAGGAGCAATAGCTACTGGGGTCCATATTACATAGGCTGAGCTCTGCCTCTTAGTGGGGACCATACTTTTCTAAGACTTTCCCCCACATAGGTTAGGCTAATTATTTTGTTTGTCCGTTGTTTCCTTATGTGATATTTTGTTATAAAAATTAAGTCATTTCAAGACTAGGGGGCAATATTAATGGTCCTTAATGTTGGGTCCATAATAATGACCAGACCAACGGTCCTTAAGATCCAGGTGGATCCTTCTTCTTTGGCATTAGGGAACTTATTTTGTTTGTTTGGTTTTTTTTGGATTAGGCAATGGGATTAAGTGACTTGCCCAGGGTCATATAGCTAGTAAGCGTTATGTGTCTGAGGCCAGATTTGAACTCAGGTCCTCCTGAATCCAGGGCCAGTGCTCTATTCACTGTGCCACCTAGCTGCCCCCATATTTTTTTTTTAGGCAATCGGGGTTAAGTGACTTGCCCAGGGTCACACAGCTAGTAAGTGTCAAGTGTTTGGTGTGAGGTGGCATTTGAACTCAGGTCCTCTTGATTTCAGGGCTGGTGCTCTATCCACTGCGCCACCTAGCTGCCCCAGGGAGCTTATTTTGAACAAACAGTTAAACATCAGTCCCAATTGCTCCAAGCTCAGAGTTTGGAAAACTCCTAATATTCAAGCAGAGTTTGGACTGTCTACCTACCTTGACTTCTATAGCTATCTCCAGTTGGTCTCTGGCCTCTTTGTGGTGGAGGTAAATTTCAGTTTATTAGAAACTTTTGGGTAATGAAACAGAAAATGATTAAATATAAGACCTATGGGTAGTCGAAAGGAGCCCCACCCTTTCCCTCAAAAAGTACTGAAACCATCTTTGAGGCTTGATTGGCTGGGACTAAGGCTGGGAACAAGGGACTTCCTTGTATCCTAAGGACCAAAGCCAGATGCAGGCTGTTCATAGGACTGCTGACCAGTAGAGTGCCATGGTGAATAGAGAGGTAGGGAAACTGTGCCCAGCTAAATCCATGCTGTATCCTTCCTTGAATACCTTTCCATGCTCTATAACAACATATGTTCCTTTTGTTAACCTTTAGATGGTCTGTGACGATCTCAGTATATTCTGATCCTAAGCCCAACTACTGTAACAGCCTGTCTGACCTATAACTGAGAAGCACCATGATAGAACTCCAGCTTCCTTTTCCAACCTCATCTTATATTTGTTATCCCATTCTACTTCTCCCATCCCCAATCCATCCCAGGCTTTCTCCCTGACTTCAGTTATTCTGGTCTCTTTATTCCGGAAGGCATTGTGAGCTGGTGGAAAGAGTACTTGACTTGGAATCAGGTTGACCTGGGTGTAAGACCGTCCTCTGACATTTCCTAGCTATGTAAAGTCCCAGTGCCTCCCAGCTTCCATTTCCAGCTTTACCCTTCCAGGAACTTCAAAAGCAATCTCTGAACCTCAATATTTTGCATGATTTGACACTAGTCACTGATGTCAGTGATGGAAAATAGGACTGGTGGAGCAGTGGCTAAGGGAAAGGACATCTAAATGATTCCGTGAGGGGGTGTTATCCAGGCTCCCGCAGCTGCTAAGTGTCTGAGAGAGAATTCAAACTTGGCTCTTCCTGATTCCAAGTCTAGCAGTCTCTCTATTCCACCATAGGATGGCAGCCATGACAGAATGTGTGACAGAATAATGAACTGGTGTTTTTTCTCTAGGTCTATGGGATTTTTTTTAATAAAAAGAATCGATGAATTTCTCCTACTCATTTGAATCCCTGTATTTGGTGGTAAATGCCTCTCCAATTGAGTGCTCATGGATAAATCCTCATCAGCATGAGGAAGGAAAAAAAAACTACAAAATGAACAAATCCAAATGAGATGAATTGAAGGACTTCCTTTGCAACCCACAGAGGCTTGAAAAGGGCTGCAGAAGGGGTTGCAAAATACAAATGACCATGTCTGAATTAACTCAGTGCAGCGGGCACATGGTAAAAGCTTCAAAGAGGAGTCTTAGCTTTCAACTTTTATAGCAAAAGGGTCCCATCACTGACACGTATTTTTTTTCTTTGCTTTCTGGTTGTATGAGGGCAATGGAAAGGAGACAAGGTATCACCTTTTGTATTCATTCCCCTATCTACAATTGAGGATTTTTTTTTTTGAGGACAGGAAATCTTCTTTTTTGAATTTCCAGCAATCCTCTGGTCTCAAGTGTTCCCAAGAGTGAGACTGGCTACAACTGCCCTCCAAGCTTCTTCTTGTTGTTGTTTGTCCTTCCTTTTCCAAGAGGACCAATGATAACATGGAGTGATAGCTTGATTTGAGTGTGAATTGGATTAAAGTGAGGCAGAGGTGCACAAAGTTATCGGCCTCACTCTCTCTTCCAGAATCCTCAAAGTCTAGCAACAGGACAAAAGTCAAGGTGACTGGCAATGGCTTGGGATGCAGTGGATGACCTTGGTGTCTTTGATGTCTGACCAAGCTGTAAGTGCTCCACAGCACCTACTTCAACTGCCTTTGTGGCATTGGAACAAATTGTTCTCATCTGCTCATTCTACCATCCATGTGGAGGTGGAAGGGAGACATGTAAACCTGAAAATGCTTTTGTGTTTCTGCCCATTTCATGAGTTGATGGAGACAAAAATAAATTGAGCACCTGTGGATCCCCAGAAGGCTTTGAGCTTCTCTGTCCCCTGGACCCCTAACCTAGCCTTCTGATGACTAGCTCAGACTTTGTAGTCTCTGCTGCTGGGGATGAGGAGGCTAGTGGATTGAGTTGAAGAGTTCTAAGCTGCCAACTGAATGACCAAATTAAATGGAGCACCAACATGGTGAGCCTTTGGGAGGGAAAGAGAAAGGGCCTGCCTTGCTGCCTAAGGAGGGGCAAATCAACCGAGGCCTAAAATCTGGAAAAAGTTAAAGCTTTGGGGCTGAGCAGTATTGGGATCTTGCTCACGAGTGGCTACCACACCTCCAGCCTGGGTAAGTGGAGGCCCAGTGTCAAAACAAAAGAAAAACGAACAAAACACTCCTGAAACTTTAAAGCAGTGTATATAAAGGAGTCATGATTCATGCTCTAAGCAGGCTCCCGTGCATGTCTGGAATGAACTCCCTTCCATGGCTGTCTTTCAGAAAAAGACTTCTTGGCCCTTAAGTCTCCCCTCAGAAGCTACCTCTTCAGGGATGTCTTCCCTGATATCTCTGGTGCCCCAGATTCTCCTAGAATGTTTGTGCCTCCCCGTCCCACTCACTCTTGTATTATACTTATCTAGAAATAGGCTGCTAGGTGGTGCGGTGGATGGAATGCCAGGCCTGGAGTGAGGTATCCTGCCTCAGATACTTCTTTAGCTGTAAAATGGGCATAATGATAGAAATAACCTCACATGGTGGTTATAAGGATGAAATGAGATGATATTTTAAAGCACTTAGTGGCTTTCCTTAGTGGCTGGCACAAAGGAGATGCTATATCAATGTTAGCTATTATTATTATTAGTAGTATTATTATTGTTAGCAGCAGTAGCAGCTGCAGTAGTAGTAGTAGTAGCAGTCGCAGCAGCAGCAGTGGTAGTAGTAATATAGTAGTAGTAGTAGTGGTAGTAGTATTAGTAGCAGCAGAAGTCATAGTAGTAATAGTAGTAGCAATAGCAGCAGTGGTAGTAATAGTCATAGTAGTAGTGGTAGTGGTAGTAGTAGTAGCAGTAGCAATGGTGGTAGGAGTAATAGTAGTAGTAGTAGTAGTAGTAGTTCATATCTCTTCCTTTTCTCCCCTGTCATAAAATAAATTCAAGGAGTACAAAGACTACGCCGTTTTCCATCCTTGTATTCCCAATTCCAAACACGATTTCTTACTGAACAAGTGACTGTTGAATTGTATTGTTTTTATTGTTTTGTAATCTATTGACAAAGATGACTTCCAGGCTAGGAGTGGTGATGAAGATGTTATTGAGGATACGTATGACAGGAAAAGTAATCCAACTGGGTAAAAACTAAGGACAAGAGAAAGCTTATGAGGTACAAGGGGATCCAGAGATATTTCAGTCATATAGGCCTTCAGGGGATCTATGAGCTGGATAGTGGGGGTACTTCTCTCCAGTGGTCTAGACCATAAGCCAGACATACCTAATCATCCCTCACATATCTGGTCTCCATTATCCTATGGACCCTCATTGCAAGTCCATGCAATGGGCTGTCTGCCTTCATCAGCTCTCATCATCACCAAGATGCCACAGGAACACGTAGGATGACCATGTGTCATCTTCTTCGCTTGCTGCCTCAGAGCTGGAGAAGCAGCATGAAGCGGGGGAAAAGGGATGGACTTGGAATCGGGAAAATGTGGGTTTACACGCCAAGCTCTAACCCTAACTAGCCTGTAATTTGGGCAAGTATGCTACCTCTTCCAGTCTCAGAGTTTTAGATATCCACATCACAGGGTTGTGAGGCTCAGATGAAATAATCTCTGTAAGGGGTTTTGCAAACCCTAAGGCACTATGTAAATGTCAGTTATCGATTCTCTGTGCAGGACTTACGAGAAAATGTGTGGGCATAAGGATGGGAAGGCATGGAAGAGCTGTCATCAGCGTCAGGGCAGACAGTTCCTGGTGCTGATTCCTTTCCCCACATAGGAGTCAGCCCCAGACACTTGGTGGTGAATCATCAACATTCACCATTTCTACATCCTCTTGGTATGGAAATAGTGAAGTATACCAACTTTCATGATTCTGTTTCATATCATTGTGAATGGAATTGATAGAAATGCCAAACTCAATGATACTCTGTTTCTGACCCTGAAAGTCATATTTGAAGCCAGCAGAGTGCATGGCAACCAGTCGGCCAGATGTATCAAGTATTGGGGAGCCAGAGGATCCACAGAAGAAACTGGTGTCATAGGTCAAGCAATCCTGAGAGTTTATCATCTGATCTTCTTTTAAATTTTTCAAGGAGAACATGTGGATGCATCTATCCTCTTTGTCAGGGCAGTTTGTAGGATTGCATTCTAGCTTCTGCCGATTCTGGAGAACTGTCTGACACTTTTTTACCCGATCTGCTAGAGAGATCACAGTACATATGTCAATTTTCTTCACCTCTCCTTCTGGGTGTCCAATAATAAAAACCATGCCATTACAGGGGAGTTCAGTGCTCTGCTTCTGCTTAAATAAACTCTTAGGAATTTCATTTCCCTTCAGTTTTAAGACTGCATAATCCAAAGTCTCACTTTCCACCTCAAACCAGGGCTCAATACTGATTCTTTTGCTGGAATATTTAGGGTTTTCATCAGTGAAAGTCACAAATGCATTTTCACTAATTGTCTGTGCCCATTTTTGTTCTTCCACGTCACCAATGATGGCATGTAGTACATGTCGACAAGTAAGAAGGTACCTATCCCAGAAGACAAAGCAAGTACCAGAGATAAATCTTCCATTCTTGGTCAAATGTATATATCCAATGGAGTCAACTAAAGGAACAAGTGTCTTAAAGCTTTTGGATGTCATGGCATCCTCAGTTACTTTACTAAATTCTTCTCGATATAGATTAAATAGCTCATTGCCACTTTTTCCAGTAATGTTTTTCTCTTTCTCAAAGAAATCTGTGATCCAGTTCTTTTCCTCTTCAAAAAAAGTATATATTTTTAAGATGCTCTTTTTAATAAAATAGACATTGCTTTCCTTTGGCTTCGATATTGAAGGAATTGGTTTCCTGTCTCTCTTTGCCATCTCTAGCTTCAAAAGCTTGTTATCAGCACTGACTGATGGTGCAACTTCCTGGACGGTACCATAGTCATCCATTTCTTTCTTTGAATTTGAGTTTTGTTGTAAGGTCATTTTCTTAACCTTCTCTTTAAGTCCATTTTGAGATTTTCCTTTTTTAATTTCTTTAACAATCACATCAAATTTTTGGTTTGCTACCTTTTCCACACGGATATTTTTTGTATATTTGACCCCTTCCTTGACTAGTGTCCAATTGTTTTCTGTCACCCAGGGAAGAAATCTGTCGTCATTGCACAGGGCATCATATACAGTGTCTCCTTGAAAGCCATAGACACACAGATAGTCATCGCTTTTGGCACCATAATAAGATTTAACAATTTTTTTCCTTTCTTTCCCCATCGCAGAAACGCAAAATGTGAAACAGTCCTGGTTGGTACTTTTGGTGTATTGCTGTTCATCGTTCTCACTCTTTTTGGTTTTTATAAATGTAATATGAAGATGGGGACTTTTTGGCAAAGGCTTCAAGTGCATCCCTAAGTTCAAGTATTCTTTACCAGTTTCACCTGTCGACACTCTCATCTCTTCCCCTGGTCGTTTCTTCCGCTCATCCTGGACAGCCTCGTTCTTCATCAGAGTGGTATACACGCTGTCACTGGGTTTACCATATACCTTATAAGTGCCTGATGAACTCTTGTGCCATTGGGCCATCGTAATGATAAATTCAACTTCTGTGTCATCTGTGGGATGCACTGTGGCAACCTGCTCACTGCATTTACCGACCTCACTTGGTATTAAGGTGCTCTTTCCAGGACACCCCTTTCCACCTGGCTGGGTAAGAGGATGCTCCTGTTTTACCTTTTAAAAGAAAAAAGAGAGAGAGAGAGAAATGGAGCAGGAAGCACCCTTGCTTAGAGTCAGTGAAGAGGCGGGATGGATAGAGCACTGGGCCTCAAGTAGGAAGACTGTTAGTTAACTGGGGCTTGATGAATGGAACTCATATTAAAGAAAAGGATTTCTACTTTGCTGCTGTATCCTAAGGACCATGAGGCCTTTCCCTCTGACTTGCACTTAACACTTCCTAGATATATTGTCTCCTCCTACTACAACGTGAGCTCCCTGAGAGCAGGGGCTCTCTTGGAGTTTGTGTTTAAGTTCCAGGGATTAACTCAAGCTCAGTGTTTGGCACATAGCACTAAAGAACTACTTCCTTCCTTCCTTCCTTCCTTCCTTCCTTCCTTCCTTCCTTCCTT